GGAGGGAAAAATTGTATACAAATGGTGAAAAGAGAAATAGAAAACAAGAGTAATTAGAAACGCAAATGAAAATATTATGTGGTATAATCTTAGTTTCTTTATAAACTGAGAAAATAAATAAAAAAATGAATTTAATATTTTTTATTTATTTTTGAAGACAAATAATCGAACAGAAAGAAGCTTTTCCATTTAAAAAAAGGAAATTAAAAGGGAATGATAAACATAAGTGAAAAATAATGTTTGTAAATGGAAAGCATAAAGTAGTTGGGGGTGTTTCATATATCACCAGTACCTACACATACATGTTCCACCTTTCTTGTAGTTAAACAAAAGATGCGACACAGTTTTCCTTCAATTTCTGTCTTCACATAAATTTACAGTTTAGCTGCACCTCATCTCAATGCATGTTTTGCTACAATACCAGTCAACATCACCAAGATAACAAGTCTTGTGGTTAGGGTTGCAGCAAAATGTGATAGCAAACTGAAAATCTCGAATTTCGAGAAACAAGAAAAACATTGAAATGCATGCATTTAACCAAAAATGACAGTGATGAAGTTGTGTGAAGTTTACGAGTTAACTAGCAACCTATACTTAGTGTGGTACCTGTCGGGCCACTGCTCCTTTATTGCAATCGGATGCTGTGTTTCTCTTCGCCTTTTTTTCTTCTTTCTAGATCCTATATCTTCTTCATATTTATTATATTTAGCACTCCAACTTTAGTTATACATGCTTAATCACTATTCATACGTTCTATTTAATGCAAGTGCAAAACGAGATTAAACAATGTAATTAATATTACCGTGTTCATATTTTAGTAACATACTTTTTCACCTTTACATGTTACTGTGCAGTTTAATTTTGTACTATCTCTCTGCGTGCATGCTCGTCACAAAGATGTGTCATTATTTGATGGAAAGAAAAATGTTGTGTATAGCTGGCAACTTGCAAGTGTAGATGGTGACTTTACGGGACCATCCATAGCCTCCTCGGATCTGCAACCCCAACATAACTATCTTTTAGTTTATTTCTTGAACTCACCCCAAGTGTCTTCATTTTTAGCTAGCCACCAATTTAATGCACGATTATTCTCATCATATCTACAATACACAAAATAAATACAACTAAGAAACCACTATAAAAACCTACTATTTTATTAAAGTGAAATAAATAACCAATACTTCATTTATTGTTATTTATTAATATCTTAATTATTTTTTCATGTTTTACCGTTATTATAACAGAACTAGAAAAAGTCATAGCTAATTATAAATATCCAAAATAATTCGTTGTACTGTTTTTTTAACGTAATTCAGTGGGGAAAGTTTTCTCTCTCTTTTTTCTTTATTTAAAGATTTTGCTTAATCAAACCATTACAGAATCTTTATCTCTTCGCACTTTCATTTTGTTTCATCCTTTCAACCAAATTAAGTTCAATAATTTATATATTTTATTAAATTAAAATAGTTTCAAGTGGACATTTCTTTGATAAGATAAATGACGAGAGTGGTTATTCTTTTTCTTTCTTTCATCGGTGGGGCTTTTATGAACATCAAAAGACGTGTGTAAAATATCGCATAAAGTCAAACTTGTGATTGTAGAGACTCTAATATGCATGCTTGCCAAAAATGATATACTAGAGGGCCATATTCTATGATACTATAAATTGGACATATAAAATTCAAGTGACAGATTCACTTTTGAACCCTAAATGATATATTTATCGTTATCTTTTCACTCATAATTAAAATGGGTACATGCTTAGGTATGTATACTATTCACACATCATTACAATTAGTTGTTTAACAGGAAATCGAACCGTCACTATAATGCTTTTCAGTGTTAAAATAATACTACATTATACATCATAACCGTATTGCTTCAAAGTTTACAAAATTTGTTAATCAAACAGCTAAATCATGATTCATCGGTATTAATAACACAATATCGCTAATTAATAAATATATAAACATTAAAGAATATAATTTCATAACTTTAATAAGTTTTAAAATACAAAAATAATCTTTTTTATATTTTTTAACATTCGAAATGTAAAATACAAATCAAACATATCATAATACTTAATTTTAATGTTTCACCATACATAATAATAATTTTATAAAATAAATAATTTTTTAGACAAAATGGTAATTTTTTTCTTTTTAAGGAAAAACATTTAGATAAGATTTAAACCAAATTTATTGACTTGTTTTGTGAAGATATTGACTTTAAGTCTAATTACACGTTAACAAAGTAATGTTTATACATATTTATATATTATAAATCTATCTTATTTTTAGTCGATATAAAATTTTTAACACACTTTTCTTACGTTGACGCATATTCATATTGATCATGAGAAAAGACAGGAATTAGTGGTTATCACTATAAAAAAATTACGTATTATCGGCAAACACAATCCGTCAATAATTGAAAAAATTTACCGAAATTATTGACGGACTGTGCTTAACGACAAAATTTGTTGGTGAAAATTGTGTATGCGTCCTCTTCTTCCTTTTATTCTTCTCCTTGTTCCTCCTCTCCTCCTCGTGACTTCACCTCGTCATCACTGTCGTGTGAATTGTTGCGTCAATTGTCTTTCAATCTTGTAATGAATTGACACTTATTTATATATTTTATTTCTAATTGATGTAAGACTTTCAATACTTTTTAAGTTAGTTTTATTTATCAATTTTAAGTTCACTTATTTCTAAATAGAAAATTGATTTTTGTAATTTTATTGGACTGCATGATAAACTAATTCATTCATTCTCTCTTTGTGAAAACTATAATACGATTATAACATAATAAGATATAGACACTTTACATTTCCTTTATCAAGCATCAAAAGATTTCCTCCGGTAGCAAACTTGGTTTTGATAAATAGTTTACATGCTTATCCTTTGGATGGCAATCGAAGATACTGTTCAGTTATCATTTTTATAATAGTCGTCCAAAACTGGTTAGTTTAATATTTTTGGGCATTGGTTAAACAATTAACCATAAAAAGAAATGATATTTAAAATGTATTTGAAAATTATGACAAGGACATGCAAATAACATTATTTATTAAAAAAGTTATTTATGCTTTGAGTAGTTTCAATAAGGAATTTAGACGTCCTGCCATGAATATTTACTGTGAGAATGCCCAAAAGCACCACACAGGGGCATGAGATTTGAAAAACATGATTGTTGTCATGTTATTTGGTTTGCTGCATTTGAACTCAAAGAAGATGAAAATTTTCTCAAAGAGTTACCTTGACATTGATACTAATTAAGGTTGAGTCTCACGTGTGGATAAAATCCGACACAAAACACAATCAAGAATATATATATATATATATATATATATATATAAAATCATGCTTGGATCTTCACCAGTTTTATATGAATCAAGATCTTGGAAAAGGTGACAATAATTTTAAAATAGATATTTTCTTTTTGTCGTTATTTCTTCTCTCCTACTTCCTTCTGTGAATCTCATAACAAATTCAAAATTAGACTATGTTTCCTTTATTTCGAAGTTTTAAAAACTCAAATATATATTGTATAAAATGTTAGAAAGAGTTTAGTTTTCTTATGGAATGCGAATTAAAAAAAATACAATACAAAAAAAAAGGCTTTAGATTTTAAAATTTTAGAACTGAAATTCAATTCTATTGTGGCTACATTATGATAAATTACAAGTGAAATTAATTCAGTATGATACACCACGAATGATGACTAAAAGTCTATTAAATCCTTCAAGAAAATTGGAACTTAAATATTGTATAATTAAAAGACGAGTATTAGTTTAAATATTGTATATAAAAAAAAGCTTTTATACAAATACTTTATAATTAATATTTTTATACCGTCTATAAAAACCATAACCTAATAAAAAATTGGATAGGAAATTAACAATGTTCCGTTTGTATAAAAAGTTATTAATTGTAGACATATTTGTTTGAATGAAGTTTTCTATATTTGATAATAACTCTGGAAGACTTGGAGGACAGAATAATAATGATGTGATAAAATGATTACACTTAAAAAATAATATTTAAAAATATGAAAATATATTTAAACCTTAATCATAAGTAAAAGAAGGTGAAACATGAAAAACACCTGTAAAAAAATAAGGATACACGAAAAGGGAAAATGAACATGGTCACTGTGACAGTGGCAAACCTTAAAGCGGTTATGAGTACTTTTCAGACCCTATTTATCCCACACAAACCTAACTTGTCTGTTTTGCCCATCCACTCGCACGTGCCATCCATCCTCTTCGTCTAGCACTCCTGATTTCTAAAATCTCTTATATTTTTCCTGTCTCACTTCGCTAGGGCTATTTGTGAATTTGCAGCGCTTAGTATGACCAACATGACCTTACCAACTAAGGGGGCTCATCCCCATCGGCAATGATTATGTAGGGCACTACGGTCATTCCAACATATAAAAAAAAGATGGTGGTAGTTTGGATCGTTGAGATGACTTTCTACTCACCTTATCTTTATTTTATTCCGTAGTTTGCGTTTGTTTCCAAAGGACGTATTCAGATGACAATAAAAGCCAATACTTCTGATGACATTGCGTTAATTTCATTAACACCCTATATAAAACTAAGCTACCATCACAACAAATAATTAAAAAATTAATCATGATCCTCTCGTTAAACATATGATAATTTTTATTCAACATATACCATTAAAAGTTTCTAAGTTTCTGTACAAACATGTTAGAGTTTGCGTATTTTTCCTTTTCAGAAGCATCCATTCATATTTTGGAAGAGAACAAAACTGCTATATACAAATCGTTAGTCTCTTAAATAACAATCCTTAAATCCAAGGCTTATTGTTCCTATTTTTTGAGTATACAAGATAGGGTTATTATGGTCATTGGAGTGGATGAATATTTCTTGTGTGTGCAATTGATTACCAATTTATATAAATATGGAAAATGGTGTGAAATAGAAGAATAAGAAGATTAAAAAAAAGTATATATAAAAGGACATTATTGGTGGGGAAAAAAAACTAAAGGAAGAGGTGAAGACCAAAGAAGGGTGAGAGCGACAGCTTCCCTTTCCTCTCTCTTCTTCACTCTCTCGTTCTTTCTTTCTCTCTCTCTCTCTCTGTTTATCTGAGACAAGTATGATATCAGTCCCCCAAACCCTCCATCTTTAATTTTATATCGTTGTGAAGCCCGCACTTTCTTTTTAGAGAAGTGATTGCAGAGACCTCTTATTTCCCAGAGAAACAAAAGAGAGACCACAACATACAGAGAGAGAAATTGAGTGACTGTGTTTATATGTGAGAGAGAAAGAAGGAACTGTGGAAGCTATCAAAACCACCGAGGATGTCTGAGTGCTTTACATCTTTTCATATCCTGCAACTCTAAGAGGTACACATATGTTTGCATATGCATACGCCATTAGATATACCAGCAAAGCTGAAAATGATAGAGAGGAGAATTTAGCTCTCTCTTTCTCTTTTTCAATTGTCTGTGAATAGTATTTTTTGATGTGCTGGATTTCTTTAATTATTTTTCTTATTACTGATCAATAATTCAACCATTGGACAGAAGTAACCAGGATAAAGCTACTGAGGAGGGTTTAGTTATTTTTGTTGGTACTTGCTTGCCAGAGAAAAGAGATAAAGATGATGGTTTTAGCATGGGAATAAGAACGCCGTTACATTCATCGAGGAGACTAGTACTGCACACCATTGGTTTTCTTTTCGATCTTGGATTATTTTTTGCAATTCTATGTCCCAAGATTTTCAACCAGGAATCTTCAGCTTCCCGAATGGGTTGGAGAGAGGAAGGGTGAGTCCACAGCAGCAGATCCGGAGGGACAAAGTAAGGTTGCAAGGAGGGTTCGAGGCAGCGCCATTGGTAGGGATAGAAGAAGAGGAACCGGTGTACGAGACTGCCGGGATGTTGTCGGAGATGTTCAATTTTCCGCATGCGGCTTCGGCTGAATTGATGGAGCAGCAGCCTGTTACGGCCACGTTTAGGGCGGCGAGGCAAGCCGGAGAGTGGTACGGAAACAGACAGCAACAAGGGGTGAATATGATGATGGGTGGATTGGGGGATTCGAAGAACCAAAACGGTGTGAATAACAACCAGCATCAACCACAGCACCAGATTTCAAGCATTAATGCTGACTCAGCAGCTGCCATGCAGCTTTTTCTGATGAACCCTCAAACGAGGTCGCCTTCCCCTCCTCAAAGCCACGCCACTCCTTCTTCAACACTCCACATGTTGCTTCCCAATCCTTCTTCCAATTCCCTCCAAGGTTTCACCGGTTCGGCCGTGGGAGGGTCTTTTGGGCAATTTACATGGGTTCCTGAGAGTGCTCATCAGCAAGGAGGCGTGATGGAAGGGCAAGGTCTTTCGCTATCGTTGTCTTCTTCGCTGGAAGCAGCGAAAGCCGAGGAATTGAGGATGGGGGACAGTGGTTTTCTATATTACAATCATCAACAAGGGGGTGGTGTGGGAGCTGGCGCTTCTTCTTCTTCTTCAACAGTTCAATTTCCGTACAAGAACAACAGTCATCACCAAGCATTGCATTTGCAAGGGGTGATAGGACACGACAACAACCAGCAGGGACATGTTGGGTTCGGGTCATCCTCGTTAGGTGTAGTTAATGTTCTGAGAAACACAAAGTATGTGAAGGCTGCACAAGAGTTGCTCGAAGAGTTTTGCAGTGTTGGGAGGGGTCAGTTTAAGAAGAACAAGTCGAATAGGCAGAATTCAAACCCTAATTCAAATCCCGATGGTGGTGGCGGTGGTTCTTCGCCTTCGTCAAAAGATGCTGGTATTCCTCCTCCTCCTTTGTCAGCCGGTGATAGGATTGAGCATCAGAGAAGGAAGGTCAAACTTCTATCAATGCTGGACGAGGCATGTATTGTAATCTCTCTCTTTCTTTCTGTTCTCCTCTCGCCTTCTCTCCCCATCAAGAGTCAAGGTCCCCCAATATCTTTTCCTTCTAAATTATTTCCTTAATTTAATCCTTTAATTAATACTGCATTATTTGTCTTCCAAATTAACAAGAGGATTATAAAGGACACGCTTCTCTTCTCCGGCCGGTATCTTTAATTAATTTCCACCTTTTTAAAAAAGTAGAAAAAAGGGAAAAGGCCGGCTGGTATAATAGGGTTCCATTTCATAGGATCAGTTGGTAGGTAAGTGTTCCTTATTTTAATTAATACAAAACTGTTTTTTTTAATCCTTGGATTTGATTGGTGGGATGACTTTATGTTATTTTATTTGGGTTTCTTGGTTTGGTGCAAACCATGAGACTAACTATTAGGAGAATACGTCCATCAAGAAGCGACGTCCCTTCTCATTAGTAAGATAGACTCCAACACAAGGAAGAAAGCACTCACTCACGTACCAATCCACCAGACCTATCATGGAAATATTGCAATCAAACCCCTTTTTATCATATCTAAGTTCATCTGAACACATTCACAGGGGCTTTTCTTTTTCTTTTCTTATAAATCAAAATTCATCCTTTACTATTTTTTTATTTTTTTTATTTATGTGCCAAGACTATCAGTGGAGAAGGTTACTTCCAGAAAGAAACCAAAGAGATTGATTATTCTTCCTACACGTTAACAATTAATGAATACTTCAATGCATCCCTATTATTCCTTGTCTGGGATTTGGTGTTTTATTTTCCTCTTTCTCCCACACAATCAACCAAATTAAATACTTAGTTGGAAAATGTCTTTCTCCTGTCTAATCCATTCATTTAACAATCATAAACTTATCAATATATTTAATTTGCCCAGTGGTCTTTCACTGTTTGCATGGGTTAGTGCCTTTTTTTTCTAACTAATAACTATCCACTTTTATTTCACATGAGTTGCTTTCCCTTTTTAATGCTAAAGTTGGTTCATCTAGCTTTTCACAAACCGCACAATGAATGAGTAAATGAGAGCATGCATGAACACATCTTCTTGCCTTTACTTTCTTATTTTTTAGTTTTTTTGTTATTTTTATCTTCAACATTATTTGATCTGTTCTCTCATTGATTAATATGCAACGTTGTGAATATTTAGACGTGGTAAATTTTTGTTTTTTCAGGTGGACAGGAGATACAACCATTACTGCGAGCAGATGCAAATGGTGGTGAACTCGTTTGACCTGATGATGGGTTTCGGTGCGGCGGTTCCATACACAGCACTGGCGCAGAAAGCAATGTCTCGGCATTTCCGGTGTCTGAAGGACGCAATAACAGCACAGCTGAAGCAAAGTTGCGAGCTACTAGGAGAGAAAGAAGGGGCGGGGACCTCAGGTTTGACCAAGGGTGAGACCCCAAGGCTTAAGGTTCTTGAGCAAAGCCTAAGACAGCAGAGAGCCTTCCACCAGATGGGGATGATGGAACAAGAAGCTTGGAGACCCCAGAGAGGCTTGCCTGAACGATCTGTCAACATTTTGAGAGCTTGGCTTTTCGAACATTTTCTCCATCCGTAAGTTTTCCTCTCTTTTCTCTCTCCCTTCTCATTACTTATTATAACACGAGGATCATATTTGCCTATTACTTTTACTTACTTCTTCGCCCATGTGCTTGTACAATCTTCACCTACAGATTGTGTTGTACAAATAAGCAAATGAACAACTAAAATATATTTTTAGCAATTTATAAAATGAAAGCAACATTTGTTCCAGCACTGTGTTGAATATGGAATAGTACTATTTTCCAGTATGAGTAATGTGTATGTTATCTATAATAACGGTTCTTGACTTGAGAGTTAAAGATAAGACCCTATACAGAAAATAGTGTAATTATTAAGAAGAAGAGAAAGCAGGAGGGTTTGTGTTTATTTGAAAAGATAATAAAGAGACAAAGAAAGGGAGGGGATGTGGCAGAAGGAAAGAGAGAATCTAAAAGCCATTATTTATGTGCCCAACGATCGTTTAGATGAACAGTAATGCAGTAATATTGCAGCGTCCTTGGATGTTGTCTTGGCAGCAAAAAGGTCGAAAGATGCATACAGCACATCGCTGCTTTAACTACGATGAATTTATCAGTATCTTTTTTTTTCTGATATTGTTGAATGCCTAATTAGATTAGAGATTAAGTGGAAGGGTGGGGGAGGGGATAAAGTAGAGACAGTGATCAGTGTGTCCAGTAATCTGCTTTACTTCTGGCATGGCAGCTAGGACATAGATCTTTCTTTCTTTCTCTTAGATTCTCACGCCCACGAAGGGAAAGAAAGAAAGGTTTCAAACTCAGCTAGGTGTACAGAAAGCTCCGTGTCCTTTTACACAGTTAAGGCAGGGACTCTGATGTCATTTTCTCGTCTCTTTCTCAGGTATCCAAGCGATGCAGATAAGCATCTGTTGGCACGACAGACTGGACTATCGCGAAATCAGGTTCCTTCATTTCTTTCTTAACTTTAATCTCTACACTGTTTAATATTTCATAAGATGCAAAGTGCCCACATTAACAAGACTAAGTAAAAAAGAAAAAAATAAAAAAAAAGAAGAGAGCAATGAATGGAAAAAAAAGAGGGACCAGCACTGAGTTCAGATGCAACTTACGTGTTTTTGAGTTTTGTTTCTCTGGTTTTTTTTTCTGTCTCTCTCTAAGCAATGCTGGTTTTATCTTGTTTAATGTCACCTTTTCTCTTTTTGTTCTCACGTCGAAAACTTCGTTTTCTTCTCTGAAGACATACTTATCTTTTTGTCTAGTTTTAATTTAGTATTCGAATCTTTTACACACTAGACATAATTAATTCTGAAATGAAATGAACAGAAGTAAGTACAGAAGCAATGAGAGTTATAAATAAATTTGTTGTCTTCAATTCATCTCACTCTCTTCCAATTACTCTTTTCTCTCTCATGTGAAACTGCCTGCTCCTCCTCCCAACTACACGTTATAGCAACCATAAATATGAGGGAATAAATGTGTATATTTCAGATGTTAATGTCTCTCCTAATGCCATGTTTCGAGTTCATGCAGCTTCGTCCCCCAATACCTCTCTCTCTCTCTCTCTTTAAACATTATATTTTTTATATATAAAAGTACATGCACTGTTGTACATAAACACATTTATTTTCACTAGTATATAATTCTATTCTAAATTTTGTGTGTTTGGCATTATCATTTATGTCTCTTTTTTCTTAGCACGTAAATTTTGAACTCTCAACCGAATAGAACAGAAAATAAATTGTCCCTCTTCATATTTATTCTATCCCTGGATTGAAATAAAAAAATAAATTATTTTCAATATTTGGTTTTTTTATTCCTACTTTATCCTAACTCATACAATTTTATAATTATCTTTAGTGTTATTAATCAATTAAAATTGAAGTTTTGAAGTTTTGTCTCAATAATCTATAATGAAAACTTGTTCTATCTATAGTATGGAACTCTAGATTTTGATGGGACGATGATATCAAAGCACTTAAAGGAACTATGTTTTGTCATTGAATATTACTGTTTTTCATGATTTTTTTTATCAACTTTGTTTATGTCATATACAAAATATAATGTGTGAAAACTTATAATTAACCTTTGTTCGGTTTACGAAAAGTGAGTGGTTGAGAGAAACTTGATAGAGGAAATGATATTTTTAGTGATAGAACAAATTGATTCATTTATTTAATTATCATTTTATTACAAGAATATCAGGTGTTTTAAACATATTTACTTTTATTTTTGTTTAGCTTGAAGTTTTTATTAGTGAAGCAAGAATATTAAATGATTTTTCTGCTATATTTTGTTTTTATTTCATCTTCTCCTAAATTAGATCTGTAGCAAACCAAGATGCTGAGAGCTGGAGAGAAAAAGAAGAAGAAAAAACTGTTAATTACCTGTGCCTATCTTCCAACTACACCCCATATGCACCTATACCCCATAGTGGTCAGTGAAATGGGGAGAATTAGACTCATACAACTAAAAACACTGTCCCTTCTTAGAAGAAACTGGTGATGAATAGTTTCATCTGTTGTGTAACTAATCACATATATATTTTAAATCTGTCATCTTTGATGTCCTTTGTGTTACACCACAGAGAAGATACCTCGAAGTCTAATCACACTTTAGCAGAAAAAGACAAACAACAATGAGCCAGCAGAAAGGAAGCTCTTGTGTGTCCTTTTTCTTTTTGTACTCATAATAGTATCAATTAAATAATCGAACTGAAATTATATACTCGTAGGGTCAAAACACACGGTGAAGGTCAACAATAAGGATTTTATATCAAGGCATTCATGCAGTTTAGTTTTTGATGATATAAAGCACAGCTTTGATACTGGAGTTTTAGTTTGTTCGTCGTCCCTTTAGTCATATTGAGAATTTTCTGAATAGAGCTTGATGTGTTTATATATATATATATATACGTAGATTGATGGGTGGAACGTGATTTTTTCAGGTATCAAACTGGTTCATTAATGCCAGGGTTCGGTTGTGGAAACCCATGGTGGAAGAGATGTACCAACAAGAACTTAAAGAAACAGAGAGTACAGAAGAGAGAGAAAATAACCAAAGCAACAACAGCAATATCAGTGGGAACCAAGCACAAACTCCAAGCACACCAGGAGCAGCTACGACGTCAACAGCAACAACAGCTGCACCACCAACAATCACAACAACAAAACCAACAGGGAAAAAATCCGATATCAATGCCACCGAAAGCGACTCATCACTTGTTGCAATGAATAGACAGGGCTTCTCGGAAAACCAAGGAAAGCAGTCCACCACCACCTCCACCACTGTCATGGCCTCCGTCAGCGCCACCACCTCTGAGATTGCACCACCCGGGTCACAGTGCTTCGACTCAGATCTGCCCCCACAGAGATTAATGGCCACTGATGACACGTGTCGCTTGGTCACAGCAGATTTTGGGACCGCGTCTGCAAGTGCTGACATTGGATCCNGGTATCAAACTGGTTCATTAATGCCAGGGTTCGGTTGTGGAAACCCATGGTGGAAGAGATGTACCAACAAGAACTTAAAGAAACAGAGAGTACAGAAGAGAGAGAAAATAACCAAAGCAACAACAGCAATATCAGTGGGAACCAAGCACAAACTCCAAGCACACCAGGAGCAGCTACGACGTCAACAGCAACAACAGCTGCACCACCAACAATCACAACAACAAAACCAACAGGGAAAAAATCCGATATCAATGCCACCGAAAGCGACTCATCACTTGTTGCAATGAATAGACAGGGCTTCTCGGAAAACCAAGGAAAGCAGTCCACCACCACCTCCACCACTGTCATGGCCTCCGTCAGCGCCACCACCTCTGAGATTGCACCACCCGGGTCACAGTGCTTCGACTCAGATCTGCCCCCACAGAGATTAATGGCCACTGATGACACGTGTCGCTTGGTCACAGCAGATTTTGGGACCGCGTCTGCAAGTGCTGACATTGGATCCACACTCATTAGATTTGGGACCACAGTTGGTGACGTGTCACTCACCCTAGGGCTTCGCCATGCCGGGAACATGCCGGAGAAAGCTCCTTTCTCTGTTAGAGACTTTGGAGCCATTTAAACTTCGATATATAGTACTACTTCACATAATAATAATATTATAATAAAAAAAATAATATATAGGGAGATGCTTTTATCACATTATATTATATATATCATCAAAAGAAAACATTTTTCCACTTTTATATTTTCTCAGTTATTCCTCCATCGGTCTTATTTGCATTGTGGGAGAAGGACAGAAAAGAAAAAGATAATACTATATGAGAAAGGTAGTCTCAACTCAAGTTAGCTATTAATTAGGTGTAATCTTAATATATGGTATCTATTGTATAACTGTACAGCATATTGTTTTGCATGATTTTTTCCCGTATATGGACAACATTAATTATTTAAGGTTTGTAGCTTAGTTTGACTGCACTTGATCTAGTTAATCATGGGAATAATAACTGTTCCTTTTTGTTTTTCACTTTAAGATCGTGAAATATTGTACAATTGTTGATTTTACTTTTATTCCTTCGACAAAAACTCGGCTGTCTTTCATACATCAAAAGGTATAAGAGTCGAATGAGCAATCACTCATAACTGTTTGAAGTTATAATGATATTTTTTTTAAAAAAGTATTGTTAATGGAGAAGTCATACGGATGATAAATAAACTAGATAATATAAATATTGTTGTAATTTAATTTTTTTATTTTAGCATGAGTATGAAAATAATATATATTTTTTTTCGTCTTATCTACTTTCTAATATATAATATATAAAGTAGATATATTTTTGTCTTGTCTACGTTCGATTCTATTTTAGATTATTAAAATACTTTTAGTTGATTGTGTAATCTACTAAAATTATATTAATTTTTTTCTACTTTGATCATTTAGTTATATAAGGAAATCTTTCTTAGTTTTTTTAATTATTTAATATTTTTGATAATTATAGAATTATATTGAGTATTTCATAATATTATGTTTTTTTAACTATAATTTTTCAAAAAAAATATATATTTAAAACAGTAAAAAAACTGACATGTGTAAATATATTTGTTTCCTGATATAAATCGAAATGTTATAAAAAGTCTTATATGAAAAGTTTTTTTTACTTAAGGGATGAAAGTAAGGATGAACTTTGACTTTAAAATTTAGGATGAAATAATCAAATCCACGTGTTGTTATCCTTATTAAGTGACGTTGAATGTTAGTGTTTAATTTAGACAAAAGTGGTTCCTAATCACAACTTTGGTGTTCCTAACAAAGTTGTACAAATGAGCAGAATTTTGGACATACATGAATCTTAGGAAGTTGTGCATATGAAGTGTGAGTTTGGTTTTTTCTTTTCCTTAAAATTGAAGTCGGCCATCGGTTGCATAATTTCTTTGTTTTTGGTATATAAGTGATGCATAGCAGTCCTCTGGGTGTGACAAGAGACAGCTTTGTAGAGAGTATTGATAGAGTGGAATGGATTACACATTGTCCACTTATGTAGCTCTCAAATTATTGTAATGAATCTTACTACATTATTGATCTAATGCATGACATGTTACCTCAATCATGGAAGTCAGAAAAACATACATATTGTGTATGAGCCTTAAATTCACACCGGGACCACACCTCATCTACCAATGCAAGTTATCCACTCTTTCAAATTGAAAACTCTCACATACCCACCAAACTCTTCTTTTCCCGCTAAGCAAAAATCACTCTTCAGATCTTCAATATCAGGGGCTACACAACATCTTCCATCAACTCTTTACAACACAACAAAAACTCAAATTATTCAAATAATACAAAACTTCTAACTTCCACCGTTTAAAATTCACTTGATTTCCATTGGGATAGATAGAATAGAAGAAAGGAAAAGGCTTCCATAACCTTTTCTAAAATTTCATTGTCATCGATTAATTTTCCAACTAAATTACTTTTTTTATTATTGAATTTTGTCAAATCTCATTAAGACTGCTTATAACTTGAGGAAGTTGAAGGAGAGAATTGACAGCTTACCCGAATGCAATCAACGCTTTAAAATGGTAGGTGTTCTAATAATTAGAGTTATTGGCTACAAAAAAAATGTGTATATATAACCAAAAAAGTGTGTTCTATAATGGCTGATTATTTAATTAGCTATAATTAAAGTCATAAATTCATGCAAAAGGGTGAGTCACAATGCACGACTATATATGTCTTGCGAAAATAGTTTTTAATGTGTCTACGATAAAACACTGAACATATGATCAATCAAATTTAGAATTATATATATACTTTCCAATTGCGTTAAACTAAAACATTAACCATGAACCCAAGATTCTCAATTATTTTTTTTTTCATTGATAGATTAAAAAGAAAGGTTTTTTAAATATTAAAATCAGTGTATTTTAAGTAAAGAGATGATATAAAAAATGTAGTAGAAAATCAAAATTTAAAAACTTGCCGGAAAGCAAGAACAGTAGTATATTTCTAGATTACAAGTGTTTGGATAATATCCGTGCAAACCTAGAAGGTGGTCAATTCCGTTTCTGTTATGTAATTGGTGTGGGTAGAAGAGATGAACCGGAATTTGTTGTGGTGTGGTATGTAAAACAAAAGGCCACACGTTTCTTCCTTAAAAATCAAAATAAGAACTTGCAAAGCAACAAGCACTTCTCACCTAATATCTTTCTTGTTCTTTGAGAAACACCGCATATTACTAACCAAAGGTTGTTCTGCAGCAACCATCAATTAAGCTTTTTCGGTATTCAATTACATGTGTGGGAGTAGTTAGTTAGATAGTTACACATTTGGCTTCACTAAACAACAGAGATGTCATAAATGATTCTGATATGATAAAAGTGGTTTGTAAGGGAAAATTTATAATTGTTTTGAGGATTAAGGTGGTTAAGTAAATATTTGAAAGTTAAATAATGAGGAAGAAGGAAGGAATGTATGAGTAGAAAGTTAACATAAATTTGGTGATACATTAACATTAAGGAGGGTCCTGTAAAGAGACAGATGATGAAGATTGAAGAAAAAAGATTATGAACCCTAGAATTGTTTGTTTGTCTTGTATCGGTGCAACATAACTTGGGTATTCAATAGGGAAAGAAGCTGACGAAAATTTTATACGAGGGCTTTCAATTGGGTTCTTCCATTTAATGAAGGAGCCCATTGCCACATGATGGAGGAGGAAATGTTCAGATCACACCAAATTGGGCTGGTCCCACCATTTTTCCACTGTCACACACCCGTCAACCTTCTTAACAAACAGATAACAATATTGTATCATTGAAAAATATTTTTTAGTAATTTTTTTAATAATGCGATAACATGTAATTCGTCTATTTTAAATATTCAGACCAATAAAATAATGATATATAATTTATTTTAGAAAGAATTGTTAATATATCACGGTCTTTTGATGCTTTTCGCATTTCAAATATTAAATTTATATTTAATATTTTTAATTCCTAAAATCGGGAAATACTTATTAGCAAATTCTTATAATAATGATTTAACGAGTTGTTATTATTATATTGAGGGTGTTACTCACTCCACCACCATATTTTCTCCCTCCACCTCTCCAATTCTATTACATATTTTTTAAATTACAAAACTAACTTTTTATAATTACACAAATAACCTTTTTATTTTTTAATTCTAATTATTTACTTTAACCCTAAAATCTATCTTTCTACCCCTTCTCACCCACCTCCCAACCCCTCAGATTCTCACCTAAACTCCATCAGATTTGTTTCTCATCTTCCATTTTTCCTCACAAGGTTAGTGATGATATTTTTAATTTTTTTTTAAATGCAATGCATATATATCTGTGTTGTGCTCTATGTTGTGCTGTGCTATGCGTTTTTTGCTGTGTGCGTGTGTTGGGAGAAAGGAAGAAGATAACCAAGGCCAAAAACGGATGTCGGGTATCCGTTTGGATCTGAAACGGATGTCGATATCCGTCGACGGATGTTGACATCCGTTTTCCCTTAAACGGATGTTGACATCCGTTGACGGATGCTCACATCCTTTTAAAGATTATACGATTTATATTTTAGGGTTTTGTTACGCACTTTTACGTCTCTGAACCTCTCACGCCTCTGAACCAGCACCTTGAAGCACCACCACACTGTGAGGAAAAATAGAAGATGAGAAACAAATCTGATAGAGTTTAGGTGAGAATCTGAAGGGTTGGGAGGTGGGTGAGAAGGGGTAGAAAGATAGATTTTAGGGTTAAAGTAAATAATTAGGATTAAAAAAATAAAAAGGTTATTTGTGTAATTATAAAATGTTAGTTTTGTAATTCAAAAAATATATAATAGAATTGGGGAGGTGGAGGGAGAAAATGTGGCGGTGGAGAGAGTAACACCCTTATAAACAAACACATTTTATAGTCTTAAAGAAACTAGTCAAAAAAGACAACAAAAAACAATAGAAGTGATTGCTTAAATATATTCATTTATTTATGGGCCGATAGCACTCGATAATATGCTAGAGCTTGATATTATTGGGCACGTTACGAACCTGAAGTCTTATGGTAGTGCTTCCTTCACCCTCATATTTGCTCCTAACATACCCATAGACAAGATGAAAAGACGCTTTTGTCCTTACTTAAAAAATAAACAAAACCTAACGTTATCTTCTCCTCCTTCCCCTCCCAGCAGCCACATTCTTCTTCCTCTTTCGTAGCACCCCTTTCACCCCCAATTAGTTAAAGGATAAAAAGGACTTTTCACCAAACTAGGGAGTACATCAGAGTAAATATTACCTGCAGGAGGCACCGGCCAGAATCCTAAAGAAAAAAATCCAAAATTATTTATGGGTCAACGAGATAGACCCACACCTTCTTTCTGGTATACGCATTAGGGTGTTCCTCCCTCCACCACTACACTTTGCTTCCTCCACCACTCCATTCTTGTTTTATCTCTCTATTTTTCCATTTTTATTTTACCTTTAATAAAATTTTAGAGTTAATATCTTTTAACCTCTACTCACTCTAATCTTTTTTAACATCTACTTATAGTAGACTTTCACCCGTTTAAAGATTATACGTTTATTTTCCAATCATTTTTCTTAGTTTATTTTTTATATTAATTTTAAAGATATTTTAATAATATAATTTATATGTTTTGATGTATTATTTTTTAGAAGACGGATGTGATGAAGTTGGGGGTGAGAATCTAAAAGAAAGAGAAGGAGAGTTGGTGATGGGGCTGAGTAAAAAGTGAGTGAGTAGAAAAATATGATTTGAATTCAAAGTAAATAAATATGATTAAAAATAAAATAAAGGTTATTTTCGTAATTAAATTTTTTTTAGTGAAGGTTGGAAAGATGGAAGAAGAAGTGGTGGTGGGAGTAACACCCTACGCATTATCTTCCACTTTCTACTTCGGCCTCGCTCATATTATTATGATGGATAATATTTAATCATAGTTAATGTTTTTATTATAATTCACTTAATAAAGGAATTATTTAAGAAATAATTGCTAAAACACTAGAAAAATATATCTATATTTTAGATTTTTCTTATTCAATTGCCGACTAATACATACTGGCCTTTGTTCTGGGAATAAAGTTGCTAACAATTTGGGGAAAAATGCCACGCCATAATTTTATAAGGTAAAAAAATAGAAATGTAGGTAGACCGCAAGTGAAAAAGTGTTTTGGATATTTTGTTTAGGGAAAAATCTTTTAGGAAAACGAATACACGATTCATTTACAGCTGATAATTTTTTAAAAAAATAAAATGGAATAACGGATTTTGATGAAAATATATATGAAACGATTTCAGAACACAGTCGACAAAATTTGCCCATCAAATCACTAACTATAAATAGCTTATTACTTCTTAACATTTATGCAAAAATTAGACTAGCTAAATCAGGCATCAAATCAGAAATTACTGCTAAAGCATTTAAAACTCGTTTAGGTACACTAAGAGGACCAACTTCACCCACAACGACATCCTGATGTAAAAACCCAAATTAAGATCGTAACAAAATAGATCCATTACTAAATCTATGTAGATACATAGATATCCAAAATAGCATTCAATTGGGTTTAAAACTTATTCTTACCTTCAAAACTATATCTAAAAGCTGATTCAAACCTTAACCAGGCAGCTGCTGCCAGTTATATATAATCATAGGATATGTGCATCAACGGGCCATTCCACATGTTGTATAAATAAAAAACGGGTACCTTAAAATTAGCACCCCGCTTAAATTATCCGATGTTGCAAAGCACAAAGCACTGGAAACACACGTCAATAACACAAAATACTAACCAAAAAATACTCATCCAACAAAACTGTAGAACAATGAAAAATTCTGTCCAACCTATCACGACAATATATTAAGTGCGATCAGAAATTCACTGAATTTAAGAAAAAAAACTTAAAACACACGGTATGATTTCCCCATGGTACTCTTCAGGTACAAGCACCTAACCTGAAATCAAGAACAGATAACATTCAGACGATTGAAAGGTGAGACCAAGTATGCTAGAAAGTAAGATAAAAGTCAACAATGAATCAGTTTTACTCCATTTAAGAGTGCACTACTTACATTCTGCCAGTTCTTTTTCAACAATGACACGAGGAAGTTGACGCTCAGTTGTACATTTTGGAAGATTTGTTTTTCCTCCATGCTAACATTCCCCACGGCTACTCCCATGCAGAGCACCTTCTTAAGCTGGAATTTGACCATAGCCTTAGTCTCATTAACCTTTGACTCGAGAGATTCTTGGTGAGTCACAAGTGTGGGGAACTTCCCTGCAAAGCCGGGCAAAAAATCGTAATCAGCTAAAGCAAGTAAATGAAAATATAACAATAAGCTAAAAAGCAAACCAACATAGAGCAAAGCACAATGTGACCAGAGATTAACAAATAAGAAGCAATTTCTAAAATAAAATGGTTACTAACATAAGCAAATCAACAAGGACTCTAACAAAAGAACAAAACTTGCCAGCCTTGTTGAGACCAGGTCCCAAGAGACGAGGAATCTGCTTGATAACGGCTTCAGAGGCCAAAAACGCATGATACTTTTTAGCTAGCTTTTTTACTAATTTCTTGTTTTTGTTGAGCTTCTTCAAGGCTTCAACATCCATGTAGTCCAACCCTATCTTCTCTGCCTGAATATTTCAATAATAGACATTAACAAAACAGACCACGGGGCAGAAAAATTGAATTACAACTATTGCAAAAAGCACCATAAGAGCAAATATAACAAAATTCCCTCTTCAATTTCGGCGACTAAGTTGCAAAATAGGTATCGTTTAAAGGTAATTCAAGAAGAGCGGTCAATACGGAGAATAATTCTAAAAACTAGAGCCCAAATAATAGAAAGGAAACAACGGTTTGCAAAGCAATAAAATAAGCAGCACAATCAATGTTTAAATAAACATACAGCAAAGGTACAACTAATGTAAAATATGTAATTTTACAATGAAGACAGGATTGAATCTCCGAACTTGCCACAGTATAAAGTATTGCATCTAATTGAAAATCTCACAAAAAGTGTTTCTAGATTACAACAANCTAATTATTTACTTTAACCCTAAAATCTATCTTTCTACCCCTTCTCACCCACCTCCCAACCCCTCAGATTCTCACCTAAACTCCATCAGATTTGTTTCTCATCTTCCATTTTTCCTCACAAGGTTAGTGATGATATTTTTAATTTTTTTTTAAATGCAATGCATATATATCTGTGTTGTGCTCTATGTTGTGCTGTGCTATGCGTTTTTTTGCTGTGTGCGTGTGTTGGGAGAAAGGAAGAAGATAACCAGGCCAAAAACGGATGTCGGGTATCCGTTTGGATCTGAAACGGATGTCGATATCCGTCGACGGATGTTGACATCCGTTTTCCCTTAAACGGGATGTTGACATCCGTTGACAGATGCTCACATCCTTTTAAAGATTATACGATTTATATTTTAGGGTTTTGTTACGCACTTTTACGTCTCTGAACCTCTCACGCCTCTGACCAGCACCTTGAAGCACCACCACACTGTGAGGAAAAATGGAAGATGAGAAACAAATCTGATGGAGTTTAGGTGAGAATCTGAAGGGTTGGGAGGTGGGTGAGAAGGGGTAGAAAGATAGATTTTAGGGTTAAAGTAAATAATTAGGATTAAAAAAATAAAAAGGTTATTTGTGTAATTATAAAATGTTAGTTTTGTAATTCAAAAAATATGTAATAGAATTGGGGAGGTGGAGGGAGAAAATGTGGCGGTGGAGGAAGTAACACCCTTATATTGATGTTGAGTTCATGACTTGATCCATTCAATGTTTCATCCAGGAAATGGAGAGACGATTGCGTTCATGCGGTATTGGGCCAGCTCATCTTTCAGCAGCTGAAAATTTTTGGTAGCTAAAATAAATGCAAATGTAGAAAAATGGTAGCAATGCCCATGGCATCTTACAACATTTTCTTCTGTTATGAACCATATGCTAATAATAGGTTAATATCAAATTCTATTTTCAGAAAATCTATGCTAATAATGGGTGAATAAAGAGAAACGTTATACAATAAAAATGGATTGGACATGTATTCGCGTTATACATGATCGAATAAATCATGTATAACCTATGGAAGTAGGCCTGATTGGAAACATAGGAAAATATTCTATTTTATTTAAATAAGAATAATTTTGAAATGATAATTCAAGTTAGAAACGCTTTTATTACATACAAGAAAGTGCTACAACTAGTAATTCTTATGATACTATTGCAGAAGGCTTGCACTACGGTCTGTTCGTATGCGAAACAATATGTTAAAAAGGCTTAAAAGCCCCATGTTTTTTTCCTACACCACCATATTTTCGAATTTTCAATTCGGCCCTTCTCTTTTCCTAACATATATAGAACATTGAAAATATGATTCCATAATACACATTCTTGATTTTTTTTTTAAATAATACTTATTTTACATAATTCTAATTCAAAAAGGTTGCTGCCCGGTGACACAGGAGATGGACACATAAAGATTTTTCGCAGTTTCTTTTTGCATCTCTATAATTTCAAGTATCTTCATAAATTCTTAATGCTGTATTCTATGATATATAATTAAAAATGTCTTTTTTATTTTTTAATTCTGAATGTACAGTCTGAAATATAAAATTATATTTCAAAATGCATAATTTAAAATATAATTTGTTGTATTTCAAATTATACCATCGGAATGAAGTTTGAAATTATGAAGATGGAGGAATAAATGACCAAGGTTTTCTTTCCTTAGTGTGTTGTTGGGCCATTCTGTTGGGAGATTTTTATTTCCTTTTACGTGTTTTGCTAAATTGTATTTAATGTGAGACTTCAGACCTAAAATACAAAGAGATGAAAGACAGACTTTTGAACTTAAAATTCCACAACCACTGGAGAGACACAGAAATGGCCTAAAAGAGTGAATGAAAAATATCCCTTGGCTAACAGACAGAGTGCAAGTTAAACTAGCCTATTTAGATTCTATATAACCACAAGATCTGGCATGGTATTAGATTGTGATTTTTTTTTTAATAAAAGTGTTACTTAATGTAATACATAGTCAATAATGTTAGAAAGAAAATCTAACAGGGAAAATGCGAATTTCATGAATAGAAATAGCTAGCATATACCACTATTTATGCAGTCGTGCCAGTAACCATGACACTAGTTATTAATTATTTGGTTGTTGAAAAAGATTCACTTATTTATTTTACTGTTTTGGATTGAAGTAAAGTGGGATTTACTCCCACTATAACTATTAATTGAAAAAGTAACTAGTAAAATTATAATTGAATGTACGTACTTGTATGATAAAATAAATGTATCATTTTAGAAAAACTAAATCTTTAGTATTTGTATAATTACTAAAAGTTACAATTCCATGAGTGATTGTATACATGAAACTGGTTAGCAGGTGGAGGTAAAGCACAAAGGAAAATGAAGACATGATTTATAATTCCTTGGAATAGTCACCTTAAAAGAGAAACTGAAAATCGAAAACCATTTTAAGATCTATTAATGAACATATGACATGGTGGTTTGACAGCAGCATTCAAGCATCTGGCATGGCTTCCGCATAGGGTCTTATGAAAGTCCTCCGCCACCACACCTCAAAAGCTCTCTGAAGATTGGGACAACCATCACCAGTTTTCAAGAAGCTTCCAACCCAAGAAAGCAAAATACTCTGTTGATCCTCCAAAGGCAAGGTGAGAATTGTTCTTCCAATTCCTTCCTCCACAAGTTTCCTGTCAAATGTCCTGCACCCGTGCTGCAACCAGTTGTAGTCATTTATTAGAGGCTGCAGCCATGTCTGCAACAACAACTGCCGTGTGTTCTTCGATGGCAAAACCTCCCCTCTTCCTATGCTCACATATAGTCTTCCAGAAATGCAGCTTACATGATAGCGAAACGCAATGGGAAGCTTTCCATGTAGGGCTGCCAATTCCTGATGGTTTGCCCACATCACCGTAAAATTTTCAGCAGCTTGTTTATCGATTAAAATCTCCAGCAACCATGACAAGTTATCCGCTTCAAGAGCTATATGTTTTACTACAGGTTCTTTGTTATCGCTGGGCATTTCTTTGAACTCTGGTTCTGCAGCTTGGTTGAACAGACACAATAATGAATCCAAACAGCTTCTGCATGACTTATAAATCATGTCATTACAGATGTCCACTGAACCTGCAGAACTTGGAAGACTATTGTTCTCCCTCAGCAGCTTTAGAACAATGGATTTCATCTCTCGGCGACCTCTCTCCTCGTTGGATTTCAGAACAAGTTCAACGATGTGGGAGAGGGTATCTTTTGGGGCATTGGAAGTATCGGGAGAAACTCGTTTTAGCACCGGATTGACCCCGATTCCATCTCCTTGGAGTCGTAGAACTGTTGAAATCACCTTTTCTTCTTCTTCCTCTCCATTCCAAGGGACTGCTTCTAAGTACTCCAAACACGATTGGATACATGAGCTGAAGCCTAGGAATTCTGCAACCTGCAGCATAGTTTCTTATTACAAGTCTGGCAGTGGTGTTTCATCAAGCACTATCCAATGGCTCATTTTCTAGGAAAGGATAAAATTGTGAAACAAGGACGAGAAAGATTTACAGTGAAAACAATATTTAGCAAGCACTTATGACTGAGGTCTCAGGCTCTACCTTTTTATGAAGTCTTCTAGAGAACAGATCAGAAACATTTTGACAAAACATTATGATCAGCAGGGGATAACGATTACCTTATACTATAGGTGATCTTCCTAATTTTAAAAGCTGAAAAACCCGAGACACCATGGTTATATCTTGACCATCACCACAATTCTTAACAACAGCACATTCCACTATTCAACTCACCTTTTAATCTTGCCGTGGCAATTGTATACTAGTAAATACATAAGCATTTCAAGCTACAATTTGTGTAATTGTGAAGAGTTACAATGTATCTATATATACATTTAACCACAATAATTTTATAAAAATCCATCTGACATTGATGACTTGTCATCATCGTTATGGTTCAATATATAGCAATTTTAACTCCAGATTTGCATCAACGGTAGTTAGTGAAAGAGGTAACTGAGCATGTATAAGAAAAATGGTATGACACAAGAAATTCCTAGTTCGCTTATACCTTTAAGATGAGGGTGGAGAAAGTATTATGCTTTCAAGTGAATTAAGACAACTCAAGAACAAATCATCTGTAAAACAGTCTTAAAAATAATAACTTTTTTAACATATCCATGATAACATTTTAAAAATAACAACCTTAGGCACCGGTTCTCATTACAGTACAGAAAATCCAAAATAAAAAATATTGATGATGCTAGCATGGTAGTTTACAATATAATAAAGCAGACTAAAGTACATTTTTTCTCATGAATAATTCTAGTAAAATGTTAATGAATGACCTTAAGGTATTAGTTAGGGAACCAAAAGTTTAAAGCAGCAAATAAGGAAACATTGAAAACACAATTAATTTCCAACTTGCTTTTTAAAGCAATTGAAAGCATCTAACAGAGTGTACTGAATGGTGATGGTTATGAGTTAACAAAACCCATAATTCTAAATACTATCACGTCATCCTCCTAATTATTAAATGAAAAAAGGTATTGAATGCCTTTTATGTTTTCAAAATATTGAATGCATTTCCTTTTTCATTTAATATCTTATTTATAAAGTACTAGAGAATAG